CTCACCACGGACTTCACCGGTTGCGGTAACATGTACTGATCTGCAACCACAAGGCGTGGTACTAAACGTTGACCTAACTGGAATGCACTTAGCTCGTTCGGCTGCATGGCTAGCATCTGAATAAGTAGGTCGACAGAAGTTTGTGGCAGAGATAGAAGCACGAGACGCATGCTCAAAGCTGTTTAAAGTCGCCTGGCGCAGATTGACCACTCCAGCCGCCGACAGCAGAAATTTCCCCTATCGCGCAAGTCGTTACCTGGCATTTGTTGCGTACATGGAAAGAAAAGAGATATTCACAAAGTAACACTTCGGCTGTATGTAAGCCAGATCCTTGACTGGTTTCCACACGGTTAGTGCATGAGTGAGTTGGTGTAGAAGGGCGATCATCACACAGTGCCTGCAAGACGAGTCACGTGGTCCACTGCGGTATGAGCTGACCCTTAGGACTCTGGTTTCCCCTGAGCCTGAGTTGTGGATCCGGAATCCAGATGGGCGGCAGACTCTGGGCAGTCGGGTCAACTCCCGATTACGTATTTCAGCTTTTATACCACTCGTTCACACATTTGAATTAGGGTCGCGGTCCCAACAGTCGCCGATATTTCCCTCGTGAGATTTTTTGATTATATTTTGAGTATACACGCGTCCTCACCAGCCAACCGGATTGCTTGTTAGAGGTTTTCTCCTCGAATGCTTTGCTTTACAAATATTGCCACAGAGTAGCAGTGGCAGGCAAACTCACTGCCGTAATACCACAATGTCCTTATCGGGCGTTGTGGTATCTCATAAAGCAGATGACGTTCCAAATCTCAGCGGCCCGGTAACAATGCCGTTTCTGATCTGGGACTACTTATTCGTCAGAGCTGGGGCGCTGCCTCATTCATAGCTAACCCTCGATGAAGATCGTTCCACTAACTGCCAACAGCGAACGCGCCAGCTGGCACTCTTTGTTAAAGAATAAGACGGGGGAAGACAGAAACGATGATAGTGTCCTCTCAGTCGCAAGAACGTTCTTCAGGCAGTGACTGGTTTCCGGGTGTTTGTGCCCTCCAGACGGGCCAAGCGGTAGATACGCTGGAGCAACATGGGGCCACATTGGATTCTGGCAGGCGTTATTTAAATACGTATCATAAAAATGTCAACATTCGGGTGCGGTTGCAGGTCCGGTTGCCGGCTGACGTCGTGCACATTGAGATCTCCGCCGCGCTGGTCAAGTTTTGTGTGGACCCGAGGATGTGGAACGCCAAGGTGCGGGCCCGGCCGCGCCATCCACCTGCGGCTTCCCCCGCCTCCTGTCTTCTCGACTCTGCCTTGACACCAGGTCCGGCAGATGCTGCGCAAGGCTACTCTCACTATAAACTAATTCGAGCGCAAGTCACCGAGCCTGTTCCACCTTGTTGTGCAGCACACGGTCAACAGAGTCGGGCACGACAGTCGAACCTTCGGTTTCAGGGTGTGCAATGCTCGACTTTCTTAGTCTGGCAAAAGCACATCAGGGAATAAAATGCTTATCATGGGATCTTGCTTTGTGTTCTGACAGGCAGTAGACGCCAACAGATAAATTAAGAACACTCCATAATGCTTTTGGTACCAGTATCAAAGAACGGTTACAGATCTAAACACGCAATGTGACGAATCTGCCTACACCTCGTGGATGGACCGTTCGGATAGTCTATTGTTTGCACGCATGATCAGACCACGGCTGAGGCGTCCGTCGGGCACCTTAGACCGCGTAGCACGGAGCTTTAGAATTCGCGATGCAGGAAAGTATTCAACAATTTTCTGGTTTGTTTGTCCGGGTTTGGTTCACACAGCGCCTTGGAAATTGGAGCAATGGTGTCGGGGGAACCTATTACATTGTAGTTCTTCGCAGGTCAGAGTGCTGTCATCGGACTTAACAGTATTTTGCCAGTTGATTGGTGTGACAGCTCTCAGCCGTCTCCGGCTTGATAGACCTGCAGCTGTCGGCTTGCAAATGCCAATTTTTTAGATTTTAAACACGGGCTACTTTGCAGCTAGTATTCGTTCCGAGATTCACAATCTATGGACGCGTCAGCAAGGCCATACACCGGACAAACGACCAAGTCGACGCCGATCCTAGTTCCTGTGAGCTAACAGTAGAAGCCAAACCGTTAAAAAGTCCGTATTTGCTGACAATTCAAACTCCTTTTTGCAGTTGTGAATTTTGAGCTATCAATGAAGACGACAAAATAAAACTGTAAGGCGTCCAGACCTCGCCCAGGGTGAGGTGGCTTGAGACCTTTGCTACAATATCATGAGGACTCCGGAGGACATCGGTGAAACCACATGGAATTATAAAATAAAAGCTTGGATTGGCATGATTGGTGAAGACCTCGAGGTGACTTCTGCGACCTCAAGCTCGCTGCTGCAAGTCGTCATGCAAAAGTTCCACCTTGGTCATCATGGGTTGCAGTAAAAGTACCGACGTTATAGTTGGTGTTGATCATTGTAGTCGGCCAGTAGATTGCGGAATCTAGAGTTGTAGCTTATCGTGATGCTATTTTTGGCAAACGAAACAATCCGCTGGCGTTGGAGCGCTACTTAAATCTGTTAATAGGAGGGATTAAAATATCTAATATGTCTTAGCGCGACGATATCTTGCGGTTTCAAACCAACGACGGGGCCATCTAGACCACACTAGGGTCAAGCGTTAAAGAAAACGGATCTAAGCATGATCACTTCGTAGATCTGTATGGGGGCAGCAACGTGATCAATGCTAAGAATTGATGATCAAACAAAAGAACTTGGTCCGAGTTGCGAGGAAAAGGCTCCCTATGTAAGACAGAAATGGCTCAAAGAACGCCAGACAATTGAGCTGCAGTCGCGCAGAACATACTTTCCTCTGCTAAACGGAAAGGTATGTATTTTAATGAAAATCTATACAGCGAGACGACCTGGAGTCATTTGCAGGTCTCAATATCAACGATCGCTTTGCCAAAATCTTCGTAACCGCCAAATGCTGTAAGTATGAACGAGGTGAGGATGTTGATAACGACGGAGAACGAGGGGGGACAAATCGCTATGGAATGATCGCAACAAATAGTGTCTGAGATATTAGTACAAGCAGTCAGTGAGGTTAGCCGGACCTTTTATTCAAGACCACTACAACGTATAGCTCCAGATTTCCTGAGGACAGCTGACTTGGGAAGCTTTTGGTTTAATATTAAAAATGCCAACCAAAACACTGAGATTTCCGTCTGAAATAAACAGATCCGGCTATGGTTAACAGCATATAAAAAGATCATCATTCTGTCCATAACTAGGTCTGTCAAAACAAATGCTGGAGAAAGGATAAACAAGCATGCTGCGCGAGCATACGGTGATGTACCGGCATAATCTAGTGACTGGGACGATCTCTTCAAACTACCAAAAAGAAATGAAAGACTGTTGGGAAATGAACACGGCAACTGATAACAAAAAGAAACCTCTAGCGAAAGCCAGTTAGGTCGGTTTGATTGCCTTTCATAGTATCCAGGAATTGATCGCAAAAAAGGAATCAATGTTCATGATTTATACCTGTATCTCATGGTAAAATTCAGATGGAGAAGTAAGGATCCGCAGCTGATCAGGCTTTACAGGAATCGCTGGTAAATCGGCACAGCCGAGGTCCGAAAGTAGGGCCGAAACACTCTACACGGAAGAAATAAAGATGACACACTAAAGGAGAAAGATTCTTTAAAAAGCAAGAAAACGATTTATTGAGGTCTGGCAAAGTTATGACGGCATGACAGGAGCCCAACGAGTGGCAGTCAAAATAGATCGTTCGTCAGAAAATCCGCCGGAGCCGATCTGAACTTCGATGAAGTCTGAATCAGTCATTTTTTGACCATTTATGGGATCCACCATCTCATTTTTGAGTATCTTGTCAACAACTTCTTTCTTTACAACTGAGCCAGACGTTTTAAGCACAACACAAGGAGTGGAATTAGAAAGGAGGTCCTTAGAAACAGCACAACAGCGCCGAACATCCTGGGCGATTGAGCTTTCCCCAGCCTTAAGTGGCACTCGGGGCCCGACTTCGACGTCCGTAAAATTGACTGTTATGAGATCTTTGTACCTGAGGGCTTTGCCACTCATGGGACACCTAACAACAGTGTCCGGTTTTTGTGGCTCCAGTTCCGAAGTCGAGGAAGAAGCCCCACCAGAGGGATCTGAAGTCCAAAAACTTGCAGCGGAACCAGGTTTGTAGGAGTGTTCAACCGAAGTGAACCGACGAGCAGCAATATTTGCCAGTGCTTCCGACTCCGCCGCTTGAACTGACGCCTGGGAATGTGTGTCAAGTGTATTTAACGCCATAAACTCTCGGGCCTCTTTTTCCCTGGCTGCCCTCTTCTTTTCCGCGAGCTCACGTGCAGCCCGATCAAGCTGCTTTTCATATATCTTCTGTCTGCGCTTGATGTCGGCTTTTTGAGAGAGGATGTACTCAAGGATGGCTGCGCGGTCATAGAGAAATCCATCTGGAGTTATCACGGGGTCCTTGGCCGGCTGGAGTGTTAGACAACAGCAGTCAAAGTTTCGTATAGAGTCTTTTCCGAGTCTGACTGTCTGCGTCCCATACCCAGAGTGTTTTGCATCCTTCTTACGCTCATGGTACGTGTAAACGGTGTTAGCCGTGCAATTTTTCGAGTGACGGGTCATGCTGAGAGGAACCAGACACACGATTGGATGGACTGCAGTATTTTGAAAAGCACAGTCAAAGGGAATAGATTAAAACAAAAATATTTCGATAACGGGGTATAAAAAAATATATTTAAGAAAAAATACTGTATAAATTACCATAACTTGTGATAATTTGTTCGGGTCCAACTTGCCAATGATGTCTGTCCTCTGCCATGATGTCCACCCTACTCTTTGTGTACAACCTCGGTTCTTGCGTTCGCTCCCGGCGCCATTGTCTACGACCCTTGAATTTTGCGCGAGGCCGAGAGGACCAGTGCCTTCCTTGGGTAGGCAAACGCATCCTTTTCACCTGAGTATTCGAAATGGCAGAATCCGATGAAAGTAAGCCGTCCTTATAACACTTACACTGTTTTTAGCTATTCCCTTGAAAGATCGATATGAATCACTAAAGTTGCTCTGCCGAGAGCAGGTTTTAGTACGATTACTTTTGTTTAATTTTGAGTATTTTTCAAGGCAAACGAGCTTCTAAAGGACGAAATAGAACGACTCAGGAAGTGTTTTGAAGAAGTATCGAAGCACAGAACGTACGTCACAGTATATTTCCAGAGTTCTCTTGTTAGTTATCTCTTAGAGAAATTGCTTTCGTGCAGGCACGAGTCATCTGCTGCCGGGGATACGGCACCCTCCAGGTGAGGACACCGGCGTTATTTAACGTTTTCCGTAGACAAGAACAGTTTACGCAGTCTATGTCGTCTGAGCGGCGTCCTTCGGTTTCACAGGTTCTTCTTCTCAAATTGCTCACACTTTTTATCATAGCACTTAGCGTCCGTAGCCCCATCGTCCACCTCACGACGCAATAAAGGTATGCACTGCCGACTGCCTATTCTCATTTGCACTATTGAATCAAATTCGGTCGTACTTTTAGAGATTTCCGGGTATAGCCCTCTTTTACAGATTTCTGCGGCTTATTCTTTGCGGTTCTAAACGTTACTCTTTCGTATAATCCCTTTGCAGTCAGGGCCCGTCTTCTATATTTTCTTTAAATGCTTCTTAGGCAGTCATAACGAATTATCTCTGGATGGCTCTGATGCCGACAATGATTCTTGGGTAAGTTCCTGCTTTGTTGTAGCGTTATTCTTCCATCTTTTTCCGTCCTCCCTGTTGTGCCCAAGGACTAAGCTGCAGTTGGTCTTAAAGTTTCTCATTTTCCCAGCTCAATTTTTAATTAAGCAGTTCTTAGGCTGTTAGGTTCCTTAATTAAATGATAAACACGACTTTATACATGACCTGATCGGTGTGACGCCTTTTTGTAAAGGGCGAAGGATTGTTAAACATGTTTCTTAACCGTGGGTGCACATCGTTTTACCATGGCCTTGCACCAGTTTGTCTTTTTAAGCAGGATCAGGACACTGACTGTGTAATTATGCCCTTGGGTGTGTTTTTTTCACCGAAAACATGCATATACCTCGCTTTTCCCTACTTCACTAGCATGGCGAATACGACAACGGCTGGGATGACGGTCATCAAACTCCCAATTACAGACGATCCGTAAAACGGCCTCCTAAATCAATATCTGGTCCTAAGGCGGGTCATCAGCCTGACAACGGCAGTGGTACACCACAAGCCTTTAAAAAGCCTCGGATGAATTCGAGCATGTCATCAGTATCACGAGAGTACTACCCAGCAACTACCAGCCTCTCCACTCGACCTGCAGATGATTTCTGCGAGGAGCCGCCATTAATATATTCCTCTGCAAGGGGCAAACCCAGCACACACCCACCAATGTCCGATGCGCCAATGGAGTTTCGTTTGCAGCCCTCTACAGCTGCGACTGCTCCACCTCCCCAGACCAAGAGCCGGCAGGGCGATTTGGTCGGTGCCAGACCCATTTCGAAGATGGCTGGTCATTCACCGAAAACCCCAACCATTCTCACGTCGCCAAATGCCGTGCACGTGTCGCCGGGGAATCCTGCTGCCCGTTTGTTTATTCAGAAGCCGGGCTACCTTGGACAACGCATGCATTAATTTAAGTAAGTATCGAAAGCCGCTTTTTGGTAGACCTTTCTTACACCTCACTGTAAATTACCTTGTCAGTGTTTTAATCTACTGTCTTTTCTGTTCAACCAGCCAGATCTCCCGCCTGTCTGCCGGTCCGCATTTGTACAGCACCCGACTTTGGACCACCTCAATTCTGTTTTTATGGACTTTACCTAATACCCCTCACAGGCCGCGCTCTCTCCTATACAGGACTTTGTGTATGTTTCTCTCTCCTCGCACACCCACCTGCTCCCATTGTAAATGCGCCACATTGCTGTCAGACCACTTGTCAAGATTTTATGGTCGTTTTTTGTTCTGCCCCTTAATCACACCAGATGTACTTAGACCATGCGTCATCAGGTCGCCTGACCGGTGTCGTCGTGTCTCAAGGCTATTTCTCAATGCTTGTACAATATGCGCAGTGCTGTGTATGGTTTGTGTGAGACACCTGCGATGAGTTTTAAGCTCTTTATACTGCGTAACTTTGTTTTCGTCCTCTCCCGGCACCAGTATTTAGAAGTTGGGCTTCATTTTGTCATTTTGCACGTATGGTAGGGCACTCCTGTCTACTTAGTCACTGCCCTAAAAGCCATCGTATAGTACCCTCTTCGGGTCTGGTAGAGATCCTAAGGATACCTGGGGACTCTTGACATCATTTTCATCGCCTGTCATCTCTTCGCGTCTCTCACAGACATTTTCGAGCCTTTGGTTGCCCCGATGAATGGGAAGTGCGCATTGAACCGAAGGGATTGTCTGACTGATGTTTCGTATAGCTTGAGCGACTCTTTACTTTCAAAGCGTTTAGTGCAACAATCGATCAGAATTTTGAATAAACAGCCGAATTGATCGGCCTTGAGCCGATCTTTTTTTTTCCTTCGTTGCCTTGGCCTACTGGCTGTCGTTTGTGAGTGTTGGTGGCCTCCTGTGTTGTGTCGTCGCCCCAATTGGGGTTAGTTGCGTTTGTGTCCCCCTTTTGGGTGAATTGGTCGGCAGGCCGTTTTTGCTCGGTATTCTTAAGCTCCGTATGACTGCCTTGTCCTCGTCACGGCGTATGTAGTGACGCAGGACTTTATAGGCTACAGGAAGGTCTAGATGCCTGTTAATGGAGTTGGCATCTGAGTGCCAAGCCTCAAGTGTGAGAAGTTCTGTCTTTCAGGTGCCCCGGCCTGAGACGGCTGCTCCTTGAAGGTCAAAACTGACCAGTTTCCCCGATGTGAGTCGCAAGCTGAGTTTTGGTCTAGTTTCCGAGTTGCCAGTTTGTGCTCGTGTGGCGGGTCTGTAATTTCCGTCTGGTTTCCCCAACGTACTTGCAGTCTCCACCGTTGCAAAGTATTTGATAGACAACTGCTGAGGTCTCAGTGGGTGGCAGCATGTCTTTGGGTTGTATCAAACGACGACGAGTTGTTGCCTGGGGTCGATGGACAATGCTTAACCTGGTGGTTTGTAACAGTCGTGAAACCGCCTCGGAGGCTACTTTGGTGTAAGGAATAGCCCTCCGGACTTCGGGTTGTTCTTTTTGTGGCCTTCGTTCGTTCACTCGGCGCTTTCTTTCCCTGATTAAGTAGTTTTGGTATCCATTTGCTCGAAAGAGGTCGTTAGGGTATTGTCGTTCAACTCTTCTGTCGGTTGGCGTGCTTCGGTGTGTTTCAACTATTTGGAATAGAGTCTAGGATGGGAGGTGCGGAGCAAGCATGCTGTTAATGCAACCGTTCTGCTGCCGAGGATTTAAGTCCTTCGACAGGTACCTTTACCAGAATTCTCTGTGGTTCCCCAGAATGGGAACTTCCGCTGCTTCTTCAGTCAGAAGTTGCTCATCCCAGTAACTTCTGTGGTTGTGCTCCATTCGTCAATCACATCACAAAGTGTCTTGTCTGGATCTTTGCTTTCGTCTCCAGGGATGCATCCTGACAATAGACACGGCCAAATAGATAGCGAATTCCGAATTTACGAATTAGTGCCATGATCCTATTTACTGGGACTGGCCTGGTCTTAGTGTGTCCTTCAACTATCCTGTATGATATTACCAACCATGGAATACGGTCAGAGGCATGTGCTGGCCGTGCGTACCTGAAGGAGGCTGCAACACAGTCGCTAGGGAATTCTGATTATGTGTGTAGATCATGTGACTTGCACCTCTTACCGTCTGCTACTGGTTTTAGCGTCATAGGTCCTTAGTAATGCATATGCATATATAGTGCAGACCGCGTACTGCTGATTCTTGAGATATCAACGACCCAATTGTTTGTGCTTGTTTGGAAAATCTTGCTAATTCATTAACAGTTTCATCCCCACTGGAGATGGACGTCACGGTGGTACTGAACAAGCCGATCGTCTATTTGGTCCACTGGCGTTAGTGCTACTGAGGTGTCTTCGGTGTGCGCATTGTCAATCTTAGCCGCGGGCATTCCTCGTGTACAGCGTCGTAGATTCGGAATTTAGATGAACGGCCAGGTCTCGTCTATGCGGTTTGGAGCGCATGCACTTGTCGCGTTCATTATAGACATGTGAACCGATCCGTGTCCATATACGATAGCGGCCTCTGCAAAAAACGCGTGATAGGCCCTACCAAGCAGATAGTCAACAAACAGGCTCTGGGTCAGGTCGGCACATCTTCGACCCAACGGATGACTGCCGTGTTGGCGAGGGCGCGCGGATTTACTCAAACATACGCCACTTTGGGAGGAATATGGACATTAATAACAAATGAAATCATCTTAATTTTTAACCACGGTGCTACAGACTAACCGGGAGATTCTTGTTGCTGTCTGGCCTTTTAGAGACTCAAAGACTAATGCACGCAATCACCGGAGTTGAGCGGGTTAGCTAGCCACTGTGCCGACATTACTGAATAGCCCGGTGTGTGTTTACGACGTCGCAGAAAATCGACCGTCAGTAGACCAGATTTCAGAATGCCTCTTCCAAGTCTTGACTCGAGTTGGGTCTACATTTCGTGTCTTGACGTCGCAGAACTAGAGTACAGGTGAGAGTCAACGGCAAATAAGTCAGGAGTAGCGCTGCTATTTTGCCTTGCTCTCGTCAGGGTTAATTCACGATAGAGACGTGCTGAGGTTCATCAGATAGACGTAGCAAATTCATTCGTCCTCACTGCTTGAGTGTGAGAGTTATCGCGTTGGCGCGAAGTCCAGTATGCAGCACGTATCTCCACTTCTTGTCAGAAATGGCCGTTTCTGTCCGGGTTCCATTCAGTCCGCCTATGGAGGACCGCACAGTTTGTCACTTGCGGATGCCCGCTTCTTCAGACAAATTCAAATAGACGTGGATTATATTGAAAAATCGTAAGAATCAATTTCGAGCTGGGTCTCCATTCTCAACTCAGCCAGTAGGCGAGGCAGCATTTCGTATTCCAGCAACGGTGGCGTATGATGCCAGACTGGCGTTGAATGCATGAAGGTGGACAGAATTATACCGTTGACTACGGCCTCCCCGAATTCATTTAGTCGTGGTACTGGTAGGCAGCTACCAGACGAAACGGGTCTGCGGCCCTAAAACTGCATTCAGGTCGTAGAGGTTCAAAGAAGTGTGCAGTTTTCATCAACGCGTGAGTCGTATGCCAACACGTAGGGCCGCGCTTTCGACCAACAGCCTTCTCTGAGGGGAGCAAGATCACTCTTTTGAGCGCACAGTAACTTGGACCGTCTTTGAAACAGATCAATAAAGAGCACATCGTCCAATAATGCCGCGGAACGTGGATAGGGACTGTAGTGCGCGGAAGGACTTGACTTAAAACGGTTCGGCCGTCGTTGTCGACGTTATACAGCGTGTGCTCCACAGCAAGATGAGAGCGAGAGTGGTGACTTGCGCGTGAATCAGTCCAAAGTAAGTGTGGACTTGCGCAGCATCTACAGCACTCGCCCCTTCCCCCCCGCATGGGCCGGGCGTCAAAACAGCGTCAGGAAGAGGGGAGGCGGGATAGCAGGCAGGTGACTAGTACGGCGTACCGCCACACCCCGTGGTCCACAGCATACACCGGCCACGATTTTACGCCAAGTAAATAAATGGGGTGGCCCAGATCCCATGGTGTGAGAATGCCATAAAGGCCACATTAAGGAAGAGCCGTTGAAGCATGACCGTCAACTCGCCAATCCGCAACTCTGCAAAAACAGACAGTGGACTGCCTGTGAGGCCTGAGCTCGGTCCTCAATTGTCAATTTTTAAAGCCACGGCACTTAGCGCATGGTGATTGTATCAGGCTCGGAGCACACATGCAGCAGGGCTGCCACACAAAGAAGGTACCGAGGAACACAGTTCTCATTTACGCAAGAGGTGCCGGCTACAGGCTTGCCTTGTGTGATGCTAAATATGGTCATGGGTGTTGTAAGGGCTGATGAGGAAAGGTGTGATGGTATGGTATAGCTGGTGGTTTACTACCACGGGCATCCAAACTTACAGGACTGCATTTGAGTAGGCAGAGGTCGCTGACTTGCATTCCGTGAGTCAGCATCACAATTCGAATCCCCGAGAACCCAAAGTTGTCTACTTTCGAAAGCATAAATATAATGTGTAGTCGGTTTTTAGAGTTAAGTAATTACATTTCCTCAGTCATTCCGCCCACGTAGGACATGTGTGAAATGCCTCGGATAATGAAAAGTCAAAAAGTCCATGCCAACGACATTTTATCACAGGTGGTTTGAACAGTACTTCGGGTTTACAGAAATGTTAGATGATACGGAAATCCTAAACAGTGATTCTTTATTGTCGGCGTAAAAATCGAGGAGAACAGTCCGCCAAAAAAACTGACCATGTAATCCAGGTTGTACTGCTCAGTGGATTGATTTTCAGATACAACGAAGCCTCGCACCAGAGTCTCACAGCGAGCTATCAAAAAGTACGGTCAAGGTGATCGAAGGCCCTGAGGACGGGTGTTGCAAAATAATTCTTATCAAAAGTCACTGGTACATGATGGGCGAGGGGAGAGAATGACCTCGATCCAAAGTTCAACTAGTGTACATTTGCGTCAGTATTCTCAGCCCAAGTTGATTTTGAATTACAAAGAGGCGTTGGATGACGCTGTCGGGGTTGCTATTTTCCCCATTTAAGGCCAAGACAGAAGCTCCTTCCGATTCACACATAGACTTATTTCACAAAGGCTGAATCGATCAACTGTTAGGTCCCGGTACCATTCGAACGCTCCTGGTTAGATGTCATTTGCACACTAGATAAAACCTCATGTCTCGAGGGGCACATTGTCATTTTCAATTTTAAGCTCCCTTGACTGGAACAACATCCTAGCGGTATTCAGGATAATGTGCAGTATATAGATCGCTATTACACAATACGCAAAAATGAAAAGAAAAAATTTATTGGCCGGACGTTTCGGATGCTCACTCAGACCCGTCATCAGAGATAGTCGCAGAATGAATCCCCCATGGCAATTAAATCGCGTTAGGCTAAGGGTCATCATTCCGAGCCTGTCAATAAGTTATTTTAAAATAATGAAGCCTATCCTGCCAAAAATGCAATCAAAACGTTTTAAGTGCGTTTATATAGTATATTTTAGGCACTTTACGAATATAAACATTGTTTCCTAACCTTGTGTACTGTTCTAGTTTTTTTTTACTTAGGCACATTTTTTATCACGGGGCAAAGTTCGCCTGCTGATATAACGGGTTTTCCAAATCTCACTCCCCGCCACAAAGTTAACTGCCACCAATGTTTGAATCCAACTGTGCACCACAATCGCAGCACAGGGAGTTGTCTACATGTTGCAGAAGTTCTTGTAAATTGGTGTATGTAGAGGCGTGGACATAATCTGATGGTCGTTCAGTCGCAAAGACCTTAAAAATGTCGACAATGTGGTGAATTTGGGGATGAAGGACAACCACGAAGGAGTCCTCAGTCCTATAGACGGTGGAGAACAAGTTCTCATAAGTACATTCATGACTTGGGCCTGGATGATGAGTTAATTGTGAAGTTTATAATCTTCGATGCAGACAATGAATTTAATTTTTTTGGACGGATAGCCCTGTCCCTCGAGTTTTTGAGTAGATGAGACATGGTGATTGGTTGCTAGAGCTGGAACTCTATTGATTTCAATGAGAACATCTCGAGTATGAGGCCCTATTGTAAATCCTCGCCCGCTCTTGTCAGTCGGCTGCTGCTACTTACGAGCACCTGTATTTGGGAGGGAGGAACGCCTGTCTTTCACCATATCCATGTTGTCAACGCACGGAATGTCTGAGTTAGGCATTTCCGAGCACACTGCAACCCGACAAATCAACTAACTAGCTATACAAACATCTCCGTCGCCACGCCGACACCGACCCCACGACAACCACCACCACCACCACCACCACCACCACCACCACCACCACCACCACCACCACCAACACCACCACCACCACCACCACCACCACCACCACCACAACCACCATCATCATCATCATCACCGCCATCTGTCATCACACCCCTGATGCCACCACGTCTCAGTCGATGTCATCGACCCCCTCCATCCCATCTATCACCCTGTCACAGCCCACGCGACGAGCACCAACACCCCTCCAACCCCCACCACCGATAAGAACAATCTTGACGCCTCGTCAACCAACACCCTCACCGTCCCCACCACCAGCAATGGGGACTCCATCCAAACCTGTCCCCATTACGATCGCACATTCGTCTCACGCATCAACCTGATTGGTCGTTTGTGAATCCATCACATAGAGACCGACGCACTAGAGCCAGGAGTCTCGACATGCACTCACTGAATCCGAATCCACTGCCCGCGCTGTCCGTGCAAAATTCACTCGCAACATGTACTTATTCCGTCACACGCACATCAACAATAGCAGAATTAATCGCAATATTCATACGTAAAACCTACCTTGCACATCCGACAACCATCTTATCCCCAGCACTACCAACTTACCCTCCCCTCCCCAGAAGCGCGGGGAACACCATCACCGCAAGGAGCTCAGTTACTTCCAACCTGTCTTTCCGACACTGCCACAGCGCATGCACATCACGCATAAGTTTGGTCGGTCACCTGCGAATCGATCACACAGAGATCAGTATCGGAGCATCGATATGCACTAACCTCACACGCCTCAGCTACCCACACTGTCCATGCACATTCACTCACTGTATGCACCTACTCGGTCACATGCGAATCCGCGAAAACCTGCCGTAAAACACCGCCGTAAATGCTCGTCACCACGTGTCGCCTCATTAGCACACACCGCCCAGCTCGTCACTCGCAGCACCTGCTTACCCACTTTTCCTTACTAAGTACCACATTTACCCAGTAACTTTGTTCAAGGTATCCCGAGTCAGCTATGTACTCCCTTAAGACCTTGCTGCAATTCCGCTTCAGACGATAGCGTTAGTTGACCTGGTGTTACTTGTCGTAGGCATCGGGTCAAGGCGACTTTAGGGCATTTTGTCAGTTCGATTTGTGCTTCTTTAGGCCAACACTGGTTCAGTTCAATGTACTACCGCAAGATTTCGACCACAGCACCAGTGCTTTAGGGGTCGTGCACGTGAGCGTCTTGTGTCTGCGGAGACGTCCTCGATCTATTCTTTCTTGCCCGTGACCCTCCTATCCCATAACTCCATGGAATCATCGAAATCCGGTCAAAACTGTTGTGGAAGCGTGCCTTTTAACCAGTAATGCGGGATTTTTTCCGATGTCACCTTCACGGTCGCATGGAAGGAGACTCGAGGGAGCGCTTAACCGACCGACCGCTGGTTGCCGTGATCAACTTGAGCAAGTGCACACAGCGATAATTCAAGAAGACACCGCTACTTTAATTACCTTCAGTAGCACTCGTTGTTTGGACTACGTGTGCTACATTCCTGTCAGGTTGTCCTCCTGAAGTGACGGAGTTTGAGTAGTGGTTGCAACACAAAACACAAATGTGTTCTTCTTTTTTTTAACTCACTAACTTACAGGTTACATTCTTTGTTCCCAAACCTCATCGTTAGACCGTTTGAGTGACCGTCCTTCTCCGATAGTATTCATTTCTATTCTAACGGAGAGAGTAGTAATGGACATAGTGCGACTAATTTTCACACTAACAATCTATCCAAATGGATAGCCCGCAAACTTAACCTTCTCCGAGAAGGCTCAAGGACCTCCATTAATTCGGCTTTCCAATTCCTGGCCGACATCCAAGAAAAAGTTGTCCGACCCGATCAGATTATGGTGGAGAGTCGCCAACCCTCTGGCACCCTCTACCATGTATAAAGAATGTGTCCGAAGCGACGGAAGGTATAACTGGAGAGCTCGATGTGGGTATCGCTCACAGTCCGACAACGACCATGCGCGACAAAATCATGTGAGTGAAGGATCGACTATACGTAGTAGAACAATCGGGTGTCGTTTATCAGATCCCATGTCGGGACTGCCCTGGCCATCACACACGACAGACCGGAAGACGACTTAGCTTGCGAAAAACGGAGCATAAACGGGCGGTCCGGAGAGGCGACCCGTTGTCTCAGGTCGCCACCCATACCCTGAAGGAAGGCCACGAATTCAACTTCGCGAGCATGCGGATAGTGACGCGAGCCAGCAATAAGACAGGGCGAGAACTGCTGGAGGCCTGGGTGTCTGACGCCATCTCTACCAACAGTCACGTCGGTATACCCCTTGCTATCACGTGCTCCGTTCCCACGGCCAAAAGGCGAGACCCAATTCCCAGCCAAGGGTGCGCGCAGTCACGCCGCCGTGAGATGGTGTGGACTCAGCTTATCGCGGACACCACCCCCTGCACTCCTACCCCCCCCCCCCCTTCATAGCTTGACCACAAAACTGCTCATTCGACGCCGAATTCTCACAGTCTGACGATGCCTCCTGTACGAAACCGAAAGTTCATACTAATGTACGTACTGTCCCAGAGATCGTGTGTTCATCTTCCTTACAACAAGAACTTGGGATTCGCACATTCACTTCCATCCAGTCTGTTTATTATTCTAAACTTTCGAACTCGTGTAGGGGTCCATCGTCAGAGATATTAGCAACAAAAGAACAAGCGAAAGTTGTAGGACTTGCTGGCCAACCACCGGTCGATGACCGGAGGTGACTACACAGGACTCCGTACGTCGGAGCCGGATCGACAAATCGATTGACTGAGGCCCAGGCTTTAATCGATTCTCGGCCTGTCTTGTTTCCGGTGTGGGCGATTATTTTGGTGGCTGCAAAGTTTAATTCATGACCCATTCCGTAGGTGCGGGCAGCCACCTGTGTCAATTCGTCAGCTGGTTGCACAGCCAACCCATGTTCGTGTATGCGCGATGCTTGCAGCCAGAACTTACTTTCTTCACTGTACACCATTGCAGCATGCTGGCAGTTAGAGGGACTTGGGTGTGTGGATTACATCCTCACTCAAACCAACACTGAATTGCGTGAAGGCGGCCAAATGTGCCATGTCTACATTGCAACTAATTAGGCGAGCGTCGATGGGATTTAACAAAGGCGACTTTTCCAAAATACTTGTCGCCTTTGCGCGGCTGAGTCTAAAATATGCCATACAAGCATGGCATACCGTCCTAGAAAAGATCCAGAGGCAAGCGACATAAATGACAGAAGGTCTAGGAGCACTGCCTTATCAAAACAGACTGTCAACTCTCTTCAGATTGGCAAAACTGAGAGATCCGTGTTGATGATTTGAAGAAAAAGATGGGCTCACCGGAATGGGTTTATTTAAATGCTGATGTTTCGAAGAGCTTGGTCGGCTCTCCATTGTCAAAGCGTAAAGTGCACTCAATCTACCTGAAATCCCAAGTGGCATGTCACGTTGGTCGGCCTCATGCAGATCGATTTTCCTCTCCTCTCGTTGCCTCGGCTTCTCAGAGGATGGTTGATGGACGTTTTGTCTGCTTGTTTTAAGATTGAGCCTTGGTCAGGTGGTGGGTCTGGCGGTTCTTTTTCTTCCTCACCTAGTAAACTCGCCGTCGGGCTGTCTCTGTATGGCCTTTTTGAGTCCGGTGTGGTTGTTTGGTCCTGAGCTCTACGACTGTAATGGCGTGGGACTTTGTACGCTACAGGAGGGTTTAGATGCCTGATGATGGAGTACTATGCCTCGAATGTTAACCCTTCTGCTTTTGTGTTGCCTCGGCCTTAGATGGTATCTCTCTGGAGATCGAAAGTATGCCCAGTTTCTTCAACGTGCATCACTGGTTGATAGTTTGGGTCTAACTTTGGAGTAGTCGATTTGTGATTTTGTAGGCGAGTCTGCAATTTCCACCCGGTTGCTCCCACATAGATGCAGTCGCCCTCATCGCGATGTATTTTGTAAATGACTGTTGAGGTTTCAGCTGATGGCAATGGCTTCTTAGGCCCTTAGAGCTCAGGACCACACAACCACACCGGACTTAAGAAGGCCATACAGAGCAGTCCGACGACGAGTTTACTCGATGAAAGGGAAAAAGAACCGCCAGACCGACCACCCGACAGAGGCTCAATCACCTCCCCCCGACGGAGTGGTGACTCACAAAGCACGCAGACAAAACACCCATCAAGCATCCCCCGAGAGGCCGAGGCAGAGAGAGGCGAGAAAAATCGATCAGCATGAGGCCGACCAACGTGACACGCCACTTGGGATTTCTGGTAGATTAAATGCATTTTACGCTTTGACAATGGAGAGCCGACCGAGCTCTTCGAAACGTCAGCATTTAAATAAACCCGTTCCGGTGAGCTTATCTTTTTCTTCAAATTTCAACTCTCTACATGTTTCCTCTTACAGGCAACTACGCAGTGATCTTATTCTAATCTTCCGCAATATGAATGGCCTGGACTGTTTCTTTGGCCCCAGTGATCTTTCCGCTCAGACTAACACGTCCCCTTTGAGCGGTCATGCCCTAAAACTACGCTCAGGTAAAACAATGATCAATTGACGAAAGTCTCTTCGGTAACAAAGTGGTTTCAGCGTGGAACGCCCCGTCTACTAATGCTCTACTCGCCTCCTGTGTGGATTCATTTTAATTTAAACTCGACGCGCACATACATTACCAGCCACCCAAATTATACATGCATTTACCACTTACAGCTAGTAAGTATCCCTTCCAGTTCACCATTTTTCGACTAGCAGACAGCCGCCTGCTTTTCTCATGCGATTATGCAAACAATCTTCCTTTCAACTTTCCACTTATCGGTGCTTTGTTGTAGACAATTTGTAATCAATTGGGAATTCAAAGGCGTTCGGGTATCTCTCCCTTAATAAAACTGAACTGAACAGGAAAATTGCGTCTACACTGCAGTCAGTTCCGATGTTGAGAACACATTCATGTGACCGAATAACTCAATGCGGAGAGTGAATTTGCATGAAGAGTGCGGACAGCAGAAGCTCCCGGCACCGGTTCGCCTGGCTCAATGAGATGGGTAAGGAGATACCATACTAACAGCACAGATTCTAGTCAAAAGCCCGTACACTAATGTTTCGCCGGCATTTTGCCCTTGCACGACACAGCTGTGAGGTGTTCGGCTCACCAGTGTGTCTCCCAGCATTCCCCATTTGCTTTCTGGTAGGTACTCCAATTTAGAAATTTTCGCTTTTTAATTTTCTCAGAACAATTTCTTAATTGGAGTATCTACCAGCAAGTAGACTGGGAACGCTGGAGCCCCACTGGTGAGCCGAACCCCTCGCAGCTGCGCCATGCAGCAGCAGAATATCGGCGAAACATGCGTGTATGGGCTTTTG